TCTTGTGTGTTTTTGTTCTACCTTATGTTATTTTTAGTATTGCGTTGTTATTGATTACTGCATTATTGGGTTTAGAGCTTGCAAGAAAGGCATTTCACTGTACTTGTGCATGTGACATTAAAACTTGAAACTTGACTCTATGGTCATGACCATGTTACATTGCCTGCAGTACACTTCATTGCTGACAGGTGGAGTAAGTGCATCTGTTTCTGTTAGACTGTGTCAGCAAAAAGTTTGAAGATGCATGGATGAGGTAATGGTCAGTACTGCATTGTTATCAAAACATACTTTTTCCACCACTGCCTATTACCACATATCTACAGGTAGATTCAGCAGCTACCCAAGAAGATAATCTATCCCTCTCCTGTGTGATTTTGTTTGTCCAGTTGGATCAGCGACTGTAGTGTCCTATCCAATGTCAGAGACAAACAATCCTTTTGAATGAATCAATTCATATAAAATGTGCTTCTAATCCGACTGTAACTATTAGAGTGTTTTGATAACAATTATCTATTTCACTCCATTAATCGTTGATGATGTAGACTTTCTTTTCTTACCGGTAACTTACTGTATCATTATTATTCCTTCAGGCTATATTTTGCTGCAATTGCAAACACCCATTTACAAAGTATTTGTTGTTGTTTTGTCTCGTTCAGAATACTATAGTCAAGTTCATTAGGTTCACAGGCAGTATTTCCTAAAGCTGACAAGGCAAAGGTGACATGACACAATAGGCGTTGATCAGAAACAAGGTCTTGATCAGTGTGTTTCTGCGAGTTTCTTTAAAAATAGATGCATAAATGCTTTATCATTTCATCTGTATGTGGTCAAATGCACTGTGTGGAGGGCAGGAGAGGCCTACCTATATCAATTCAAAGTTTATTAGTCGCGTAAACAGTTTAGCAGTTCTTATAACGAGTGCAGCGAAATGCTTACGTTACTAGCCATTGCGCACTATTCAACGTCAATTCAACGTCTATTCCACGTTCCTTCAACGTAATTTCATTGAAATGACATGGAAACAATGTTGAGTCAACCAGTGTGTGCCCAGTGGGTAGCTCCTAACAGTGCAGTACAATGTCAAACAAGTAGACTATACAAATAATAAAACAATTAAATAAAAAACAAGAAATCAAGAAATGTCAGCAGGAATCCAATTAACAACCCAAATAGCACTGTAACAGTAATCCAAATGCAATCTATACGTGTATATAAACTGGATGAATTTACACAAGATATACTAAGAATGATATGTACAACAGTAGATATAGCCTATTTGAATTAGCTATGTCAAGAATCCAGTATATAAATAAACACGCGGTGTATCCTCTTTCCAATGTTAACTACGTAGATCGATGGCAACAGCTTCTTGATGACTGCTTGATGTAGATGAGGAGGCCTCCCCACCTGAAACGCATACTTTTACACAGGTCAGTTGTCAGAGTAAATATAGAAATAGGTAAACAGTGACTAGGGTTTCTTGGTGGATGAGATAAACTTGACTTGAACATCCCACTACAGGTAATTCCACAATTGTCAGTGTGATAATTTGTTGTAGTGATGATGGGTAGGAAGAAGCTAGGCCGAGTGTTTCTGTATTGGCTAACGAAGGCCACGTTTGACGTGTTGGTCCACCAGACTTTTCGCGCATTTGGGCGTAAGTGTCTGGGAATGAGATTAGTTCGACTGTAATCAGTGTCAGCAAAAAGTTTGAAGCTGCATGGATGAGGTAATGGATTATTATCAAAACATTCTCATTGGTATGATCGCGATCAATACTAGGAACTAACGGCTAACGGTTATCATAAATAATTATCGTAATTATAAACCTAATGAAATATTCAGGACCCATTCATTCATTTTTTTCTTCAGTTATCAGTTTCAATCAACACTACTTCTCGACTGCATTATACTGCGAAGCACTGTAATTGTGATAATGAATGCTACACTGTAATTGTGATAATGAAATCTACTCTGATTGTATTTAGAGAGAGAAACTCCTTAGGAATGTGTGTGATTTCCCTGTGTTTCTGTAGACACACCAATACCAATCAAGAGTCCTATCAGTAACCAGATATCTACAGGTAGATTCAGTAGCTGCGCAAGAAGAGAAGATAATCCATCCCTCCCGTTCTTCCTGTGTGATTGTGTTTGGTTGACAGGCATTATTTCATATCACTGACAAGGAAGGCAAAAGCGACATTACACAATAGGTAATGATCAGAAACGATGTATTGATTATTGTGTTTCTGTGGGTTTTGATCTAGTGGGGTTAATCAGTGATATAGGTACATAAATGCTTTGTCATTTAATCTGTATGCGCTCCAAAAATTGTAAAACAATATGATCGAAGTTTAAAAGGAAAACGAAAAGAGAATATGCAGATGAGGTAGAAAAACCCTGAACAGCTTGTAAGACACCTCCCCCTTTCAAATTAAATTGGAATTATTATTTACAAGCCCATTAGAACTTGACACAGCAGACACACACAATAATTAATCAGTATAAAGAATGCATAAATTCGCATTTATTTTAGCATGAACTTTTTTTATGTTAAAAACATATGCCTAGGGCCCTGATTCAAATACAGTTGATTTATAAAGCCATTTTTACATTAGCAGATGTCACAAAGTGCTTATACAGAAACACAGCCTAAAACCCCAAACTAACATGATGGTGTGTATCAGGTAAGTAACCTACTGCTGAGTCAAAGAATGATGGCACGTTATTTATCACTTTGTTCCTAAATTCATGTCATCCTTGTGCAGTGAACATGCCTTGCCTTTTTATGCTGACAATTTATTTGTCATTGCTGTATGAATTGCAGCGTGCCATGCTATCATCTCCTCGGCGCTGGCACAGATGAGAGAACTGTTACAAAGTAACAGAAAATGAAAGAATGTTAAGGGAAACTGATTCGATGTTACAATGTATCATTTTACTCTTTGTTTCCCAGTAATCTAATCAACTCCTAAGGTTTCATCAAATTCCGCTGAGGGATAAAACGGTCACGTGTGCAGGAATCACATGCTGGGATATTTACTCGGGGGCCGGACCTGAGATTTTTAATGTCCTCTTTCAGCCAATCCCAGGCTATGCTGTGTGATAGCGAGTCCCCTTTCAGCCAATCACAAGCCCCCCTACTATTACGACATATAGCTGGCTGTATAAAGTGTTGTTTCTAGACGATACTTGCTACACAACAACAGCAGAAATCATCACACTGCTACTGCAAATTGTCGTTAAAGTAAGTATCGCTCTAGATCTATTATGTTGTTTCTACAGCGTTAGGTTTGTCTCCTTATGGACGTTTACCAGGGGCATTTGCTCTTCGATTGATACAACGTAGACCTAACAACATTAGGCTACAGTTTCTGATGTTATTGCTGTCGGCTGTTACCAAACATTCCCTAGAATATCTCCGTGGATATCAACATTACTTGATATAATTTGGAATACCGGTAGGATAGTAACCTAGTAAAACGTTCCATATAACATTTGATATTTTTGCTTGAGTTGAATGGGCTTTGTCGAGCTAGAAATTTAGAGGGCTTTGTTTTGTTCTCACACAAATGGCTCAAGTGTTATCGTTTTATACGTAGCTACAATATAGCGAACCGTTACATTTTTGGAACTAGATTTTTGGGAGGCTCGATCTGAACTTTTCCTCAGCCACAACACGTCATTTCAACGTGGAAATGTGGCTAATATTTGGGTGAGATGTTAATGAATGAGATTTCAACCCATCTTAACCCACTCAAAAATACAGAAGTTTGTTGACTTTCAAATGTTATCACTGCTTTCAACCATCTAAAAGCACAACCAAAATCCTATGGAAAAACCATGTAAGATTTTTGGTTTAGTTGTCATCTAAATGTGGTTACACTGCGTTTTCAACCGTTTATTTTAATTTTTAAAAGCACAACCAAGTTCAAATGGGAATACAATGTCAGCTGTTTTGTATTTATACAACAATTGACAGTCACTGTACTTCATCTAATAGCACAACCTCATGGCCTGGATTGCATTTGAGATTACATTAAAAGTACGTAGTGCCAGTGATCAATGCCATTTTGAGTCTATGTAGATTATAGCAATTGTGAATATCCCCAGACCTGCGATCTTGGCATGCTATCTTGAATTTGCATGATTAAATAAGACATTTTATAATAACAGTAACCTCAAATGTGGCACTGGATGTGTTACTTATTTTACAGTTGAATAAATACTGTTACGTTAGTTTAAGAGCCAAAACTTTAGGCTATTTACTGTTTTGCACAAACATATTTGTCAATGCAAAAAAAAATCAACATTTGAAGGAGTTGTTTATTTTGTGCCACTGACAGTCTGGCTTTAATTCTAGTTTGTCTACACATTAATTATTGAAATGTTGGATTCACATCTCCATCTCAACCAAAAGTTAAAGAAAAAGTTTGATTTAGTCCTATTCTTTAACCTAGATTTTTTGTTGAGGGAGATGTGAATCCAACATGACTTATTAATTTAAAATTACATTTGACATCAACCAAAGCTTGAAACTCTGGGTTTTAGGTGAACCCTGGGTTGAATGGAAACAATAGCTGCTGATGACTTCGCAAATCCTATATACACCTGAATAGTGTCATTGATGATATGACTTGTAAAATATGGTTACATTTGTTCTGTTAAACCTATCCTTTGGAATGACTATGATAGCAACAGTGAATCTTAAGTTATTAAGATATTTATCTCAATCATTCTCACATACCACATTGGTAGTAGTCAGTGACATATCAAAGCTAGGCAGGGCTTGGTTAACCCTGGATGGGAGACCAAATGGATAGCTGTAGATAGCTCAACTCTCCAGTAGGAAGTACTGCCCAGCCTATTTATAAAAAAATATTATGTTAATGGGTATGACGTTGAAGTTCTGACATTGTTTCAATGGTACAAATTCAACATTTCATCTATCTTCACACTGAAATACTAGGCTGACTGATGGCTCTGCTCTCTCCCTTCACAGCTGTTTTACCATGATGTCCCTGTACTTGGCAGTGTTGGTGCTCTGTATGAGTGCAGTGTATGCGGCCCCTAGGTTTGACTCTCAGTTGGAGGGCCACTGGCACTTGTGGAAGAATTGGCACAGCAGGAACTACCATGAGGTGGGTGTTTAAGCACAAGTAAGGGTGCACTTCCTAATGGGAACCCCATCAGTAGCTCCCAACAAGTGCCTCAAATTCAATTTGTAAGTCGCTCTGAATAAGAGCGTCTGCTAAATTACCAATGTAAATTGGTGCATTGGCATACATGTAGCTGTAAATTAATTAACTCAGTATATCATTAATTATTGCATGGATTGTGCCCATAGATCTGGGACAGTATATGATTGTGTATATTTTCTGACTGTTTTTTTCACTCATTGTTACAGAGAGAGGAGGGCTGGAGGAGGATGGTTTGGCAGAAGAACCTGAAGACTATTGAGATTCACAACCTGGACCACTCTATGGGAAAACACTCCTACCGTATGGGCATGAACCACTTCGGTGACATGGTATGAAGAACCACCTTGCTAAGCAGTGCTTGACTTGGATGAAATGGATGCCGGTACTCATTCTGGGTGCAAGTATTGTTTATATGTAGGTGCAGGAACTCCGCAGTACTTTTGCGCTAATATTCTATATGAGGTGCAGGAACTCACACAGTAGAAAGTTTGAAGTGCCGGTATCAGTTCTGGTGAGTTCCTGCCTAAGTCAAGCACTGTTGCTGAGACATTTTACTGTGGAGCAGGAGGTACATTTCAGCAGTCTTGTCCCATGCTGTAGCTGAATCTTTTTGTCATGACATACATTGGCTACAGCACTTACAGTATGAAATATTTCACAGGCATTGACAACTAAAGCAGGAATGTATTCACTCACTGGTTAGGGTTATTCCACTATCAGGTTCTTAAGGAAGATGATAATGATCCTGAGAAGGGAATGGAAATTGACTCCTAATTTTTTTTTAAGACTCATCTTTCTGGTTCAGTGCGTAACTTTGTTTATTTTATTTTTTACCGTCCTAAGACATAAAAAAAAAAAACAATGTTCCATTCAGATACTAACTTGCGAAACACCTCTGGCCAGGTAGACATTACATTTCAACATGTTTATCTGATTTCTTCCTCCCTAGACCAACGAAGAGTTCAGGCAGCTGATGAACGGCTACAAGCAGACGACTGAGAGGAAGTACAAAGGCTCTCTGTTTATGGAACCCAACTACCTGCAGGTCCCTAAAGCTGTGGATTGGCGAGAGAAGGGCTATGTCACTCCCGTCAAGGACCAGGTGAGTCCTGAATCATAAACTGCTGTGTCACTAAATAAATGTGGACTTTTCAGAGGTTTTACTTCTAGGGAACTGTCTGGTTTGTTTGTGTGCTGGTTACCCATGACTGTAATTTAGTCTACAGAGGATAAGGTGGCAAATTGTGTATACAGATGGTTTATTATTTAGTTAATACTAATACATATTTATTACTTGCATACACTGGCATAATATGCACATGTCAGTGAGTTCTCTGACATGAAATACTAAGATGTTTAACCATCTTTCCCCCTCAGGGCTCATGTGGGTCTTGCTGGTCGTTCAGTTCCACCGGTGCCTTAGAGGGCCAGCATTTCAGGAAGACTGGCATGCTGGTGTCTCTGAGTGAACAGAACCTGGTGGATTGCTCCAGACCCCAGGGCAACGAGGGCTGTAATGGAGGTCTCATGGACCAGGCGTTCCAGTATGTAAAGGACAACACCGGCCTGGACACAGAGAAGTCTTACCCCTATGTGGCCAAGGTAAGGCCCTGTGTTCTATTAGTCTGAATTCAAATATAATAGCATATCAAAATTAATGTATTCAAAGTAAGGCCCTGTTCTTTTAGCCTGGTCCCAGATTGTACAGTTTTAGCTGTATAACCAACTCCTGTGGTTGTAATTTTGGCATGACAATGACTAACAGAATCCCCATTGCTGTGGGATTTATGTCTCCAAGAATGACTGAATTGCTTGAATAATTTGAATATGTTATTTTTTACTAATCATGGCCACTGGCCTTTTCTGGTTACTCAGGATGATGATCTTTGCCACTACCAACCAGAATTCAGTGCTGCCAATGACACTGGCTTTGTGGACATCCCCAGTGGCAAGGAGCATGCTCTGATGAAGGCTGTGGCGACTGTCGGCCCCGTCTCTGTCGCCATCGATGCCAGCCACGAATCCTTCCAGTTCTACCAGTCTGGTGAGTAGCAATTAGCGGTGGAACTTAACATTAACTTTATTCCCTACCTCATATTTTTTTAGTAGCAGTGAGCTGTACTGGTCTGTCCTTTTCACACTAGCTAAGATTTACAAATGGTATTGTCTTTCAGAACTGCTGTTTTTCACGTAAATTGTTTGTTACCAATTTCTGCAAGCTAACTAGCTACATAACAAACTTTAGCTTTGAGATCCGGTGGTTTTACATACTCTGCGGTAAACCTAGCATCTTAGTCCACTAATGTACCTGTCCTCTCTATAGGGATCTACAATGAGAAGGAGTGCAGCAGTGAGCAGCTGGACCATGGAGTTCTGGTGGTGGGATACGGTTTCGAAGGAGAGGATGTGGATGGCAAGAAATTCTGGATCGTCAAGAACAGGTACAGTACAGAGTATCTTCCTAGGATTTGTTTTTGTTTGTTACACGTCACCACCACGGGAATGGTTAATTTCCTCATCAGGGAATATGCCTCTCTACAATACCATTGCCTTTATTTGAATACAGTGTTGGTGTTGTCCTGATAATATGGTCTAAGTCATTAATTTCTCTAAAGCAACTGTACATCTCATTGTATAATTTCCAAATAACTTGAACTGTGGGACTAACCTATTTGTTTTTTTTCCTCAGCTGGAGCGAGAAGTGGGGAGACAAAGGCTACATCTACATTGCCAAAGACCAGAAGAACCACTGTGGCATCGCCACGGCAGCCAGCTACCCACTGGTCTAGTGTTCTAGAACCTGGAGGTTCTAGTACACTAGACCAGAGTTTTAGAAGCGTTTGATAAACGTTCTGAAAGGGCCATGATGACTACAGTGCTGCCTTAACTAAATCTGTGAAAGCTGCGTGAGAACCTGTTGCTTGGGTTTTAAACAAACACTGTTAGGGAATTTATGAAATTTTACCCATTTGTTTTATACTCTATTTTATGTGTGTATGTATGCATTTTGAGTCACGTGAATGTTACAGGTGTAAGATCTGTGTACATTCGTAGTTTTCTGCTTTTACACCTGTTCTGTAAAGTTTTGTACATATGAGCAAAATAAACCTTTTAAAATTGATTTGTGTGGCTACTTTGTGGTACTAATCAACTACATTTCCTACAGATGTAGCTAACTTTTGAATGTTGGCACTGTCTAGCAGCTATTATGACTCATCAATGAAGGCTATGACTCTCAGGAACATAAACATGTATTGTTTCTTTCTCTGAAGCTCCCAGGCCATGCAGGTGTCGTTAGAAAGGACTGTGACACAACTGCAATTGAAAGCAATGCAGATTTATTTTAAAAAAATTCTACACATTCCCTACCTGAACTTTCCAAATCATTTTGAATGCTTTTCAGTTACTTTGATGCAAATTTTCAAAAAAGATCTTCATTTCACACCTTATGGTTGCAGTTATCTGTACTAGAATGGCCATAATGGAAAGGAAAATAGGATATCAGTCACTGCCCGCAATATCCACATTGGTGCATTCCTTTCTGGTTTTCGACATTCAGTGTGTAGAACTGATAACTGACCTACAGTAGGAGTCGGAAGTTTACATACACCTTAGCCAAATACATTTAAACCCAGTTTTTTACAATTCCTGACATTTCAGCCTAGTAAAGATTCCCTGTCTTAGGTCAGTTAGGATCACCACTTTCTTTTAAGAATGTGAAATGTCAGAATAATAGAACTTTATTTATTTCATTACATTCCCAGTGGGTCAGAAGTTTACACTCAATTAGTATTTGGTAGCGTTGCCTTTAAATTTAACTTGGGTCAAACATTTCAGGTAGCCTTCCATAAGCTTCCCACAATAAGTTGGGTGAATTTTGGCCCATTCCACCTGACAGAGCTGGTGTAACTGAGTCAGGTTTGTAGGCCTCCTTGCTCATGCACACTTTTTCAGTTCTGCCCACAAATTTTCTATAGGATTGAGGTCAGGGCTTTGTGATGGCCACTCCAATACCTTGACTTTCTTGTCCTTAAGCCACTTTGCCACAACTTTGGAAGTATGCTTGGGGTCATTGTCCATTTGCAACCAAGCTTTAACTTCCTGACTGTCTTGAGATGTTGCTTCAATATATCCACATTTTCCTTCGTCATGATGCCATCTATTTTGTGAAGTGCACCAGTCCCTCCTGCAGCAAAGCACACCCACAGCATGAGGCTTCCACCCCCGTGCTTCACGGTTGGGATGGTGTTCTTCGGCTTGCAAGCCATCCCCTTTTTCCTCCAAACATAACGATGGTCATTATGGCCAAACAGTTCTATTTTTGCTTCATCAGACCAGAGGACATTTCTCCAAAATGTACAATCTTTGTCCCCATGTGAGTTGCAAACCGTAGTCTGGCTTTTTTATGGCGGTTTTGGAGCAGTGGCTTCTTCCTTGCTGAGCGGCCTTTCAGGTTATGTTGATATAGGGGATTGATTTGATAACTATGTGGTCCCATGGTGTTTATAGATTGTGCGATAAACCTTCGGGTAGACGCTGTCATGTGTATCCCCTGTCACAGGCTGAAACGGAGGCTATGGAAACATACGTCTCCGAGTCCCTGGGCCAGGGGTATATACGTCCCTCCACTTCACCCGGCTCCTCGAGTTTCTTCTTTGTGAAGAAGAAAGACTGCGGTCTGCGCCCGTGCATTGATTATCGATCACTGAACAAGGAGACGATTAGATTTAGTTATCCTCTCCCCCTAATTTCTTCAGTGATTGAGTCAATGCATGGGGTGCGCTTCTTCACTAAGCTAGATCTCAGGAGTGCATACAACCTGGTGCGTGTTCGGGAAGGGGATGAGTGGAAGACAGCATTCAGCACAACCACGGGGCATTATGAATACCTGGTGATGCCCTACGGTTTGATGAATGCTCCATCCGTCTTCCAGTCCTTTGTGAACGAGATGTTTCAGGACATGCTTGGTTGCGGTGTGGTGGTCTACATCGATGACATCCTGGTGTATTCCGCTACTCGCGCCGAGCATGTGTCCCTGGTTCGCAAAGTGCTGGCCCGACTGTTGGAAAATTACCTTTATGCCAAGGCAGAGAAGTGTATGTTTTTCCAGCAGTCCGTCTCCTTCCTCTGATACCACATTACCACCTCAGGTGTGGAGATGGAGGGAGATCGCATTTCAGCCGTGAGTAATTGGCCGACTCCAACCATGGTTAAGGAAGAGCAGCGCTTCCTTGGCATTGCCAACTACTATCGGAGGTTTATCCGGGGCTTTGGCAAGGTTGCAGCTCCCATTACATCCCTGTTGAAAGGTGGGCCGTCCCGGCTCTGCTGGTCTGCTGAGGCTGACCTGGCCTTCAGTAGACTGCAGAGTCTGTTCACCCCAGGTGGGCCCTATCCTTCACCCGGTTTGATTTTACACTGTCATACATTCCGGGTACGAAGAACGTGAAGGCAGATGCACTGTCCTGGCTGTATGACACAGAGGAGAGGCCCAGAGACAACACCCCCATACTCCCGGACTCCTGCATGGTGGCGCCGGTAGTATGGGCGATGGACACGGATATAGAGCAGGCATCACGCACAGATCCATCTCGCTAAGGACGTGAAGGTGTACGTCTCCTCCTGCTCAGTGTGCGCCCAGAGTAAGGCACCTAGGCACCTCCCAGCGGGTAAGCTACAACCTTTACCAGTTCCACAACGACCATGGTCTCACCTTAGTATTGATTTTTTGACTGATCTTCCCCTCTCCCAAGGTAACACCACCATCCTGGTCGTTGTGGACTGCTTCTCCAAGTCCTGCCGCCTCCTTCCTCTGCCCGGTCTCCCCACGGCCCTGCAGACTGCGGAGGCCCTGTTTACTCACGTCTTCCGGCACTACGGGGTGCCAGAGGATATAGTGTCCGACCGAGGTCCCCAGTTCACGTCCAAGGTTTGGAAGGCGTTCATGGAACGTCTGGGGGTCTCGGTCAGCCTGACCTCTGGGTTCCACCCCGAGTCAAATGGACAGGTGGAACGGGTAAATCAGGATGTGGGTAGGTTCCTGCAATCCTACTGCCAGGACCGGCCGGGGGAGTGGTCGGTGTTCTTGCCATGGGCAGAATATGCCCAGAGCTCTCTCCGCCACTCCTCTACTAACCTCAAATCAAATCAAATCAAATGTTATTTGCCACATGCGCCGAATACAACAGGTGTAGACATTACCGTGAAATGCTTACTTACAGCCCTTTACCAACAATGCATTTATTTCTCAATAAAACAGCAACAACAAAAAAGTGTTGAGAAAAAAAGAGCAGAAGTAAAATTAAATAACAGTAGGGAGGCTATATACAGTGGGGTACCGGTGCAGAGTCAATGTGTGGGGGCACCGGCTAGTTGAGGTAGTTGAGGTAATATGTACATATGGGTAGAGTTAAAGTGACTATGCATAAATAATTAACATAGTAGCAGCAGTGTAAAAAGATGGGGTGGGGGTGCAAATAGTCCGGGTAGCCATGATTAGCTTTTCAGGAGTCTTATGGCTTGGGGGTAGAAGCTGTTGAGAAGCCTTTTGGACCTAGACTTGGCGCTCCGGTACCGCTTGCTGTGCGGTAGCAGAGAGAACAGTCTATGACTAGGGTAGCTGGAATCCTTGACAATTTTGAGGGCCTTCCTCTGACACCGCCTGGTATAGAGGTCCTGGATGGCAGGAAGCTTGGCCCCAGTGAAGTACTGGGCCGTACGCACTACCCTCTGTAGTGCCTTGCGGTCGGAGGCCGAGCAGTTGCCCTACCAGGCAGTGATGCAACCAGTCAGGATGCTCTCGATGGTGCAGCTGTAGAACTGTAGAACATGCCAAATCTTTTCAGTCTCCTGAGGGGGAATAGGCTTTGTCGTGCCCTCTTCACGACTGTCTTGGTGTGTTTGGACCATGATAGTTCGTTGGTGATGTGGACACCGAGGAACTTGAAGCTCTCAACTTGTTCCACTACAGCCCCGTCGATGAGAATGGGGGCGTGCTCAGTCCTCTTTCTTTTCCTGTAGTCCACAATCATCTCCTTTGTCTTGGTCACGTTGAGGGAGAGGTTGTTATCCTGGCACCACACGGCCAGGTCTCTGACCTCCTCCCTATAGGCTGTCTCATCATTGTGGGTGATCAGGCCTACCACTGTTGTGTCGTCGGCAAACTTAATGATGGTGTTGGAGTCGTGCCTGGCCATGCAGTCATGGGTGAACAGGGAGTACAGGAGGGGACTGAGCACGCACCCCTGAGGGGCCCCCGTGTTGAGGATCAGCGTGGCAGATGTGTTGTTACCTACCCTTACCACCTGGGGGTGGCCCGTCAGGAAGTCCAGGATACAGTTCCAGAGGGAGGTGTTTAGTCCCAGGATCCTTAGCTTAGTGATGAGCTTTGAGGGCACTATGGTGTTGAACGCTGAGCTGTAGTCAATGAATAGCATTCTCACGTACAGTGAGGGAAAAAAGTATTTGATCCTCTGCTGATTTTGTACGTTTGCCCACTGACAAAGAAATTATCAGTCTATGATAAGGTTTATTTGAACAGTGAGAGACAGAATAACAACAACAAAATCCAGAAAAACACATGATTTGATTTGCATTTTAATGAGGGAAATAAGTATTTGACCACCTCTCAATCAGAAAGATTTCTGGCTCCCAGGTGTCTTTTATACAGGTAACGAGCTGAGATTAGGAGCACACTCTTAAAGGGAGTGCTCCTAATCTCAGCTTGTTACCTGTATGAAAGACACCTGTCCACAGAAGCAATCAATCAATCAGATTCCAAACTATCCAC